CGCGCTGAAGACGAAATTCGGTCGCGAAGACGAAATTCGTCCTGAAGAAATTCGGCCCGAAGACGAAAATCCTCAGCATTCAAGTACGTTGCAGACGTTCCTAGGCTCCGGAATACCTTTCTGAAGGCGGAAATGGGCCCTGAAGACGAAATTCGGGCCTGAAGACGAAAATCGGCACTGACGACGAAATTCGGCCCTGAAGACGAAATCGGGCCTGAAGACGAAAATCGGCACTGACGACGAAATTCGGCCCTGAAGACGAAATTCGGCCCTGAAGACGAAATTCGGCCTTGAAGACGAAATTCGGCCTTGAAGACGAAAAGAGTTGGGACATGTTGGGACGCTGGATGTGGGTGAAGAGAGAGACAGCCAAGGACGTGAAGAACGGTTGCAGTGGCTGCTGTAGTTGCCACGCGGCTTCCAGGCGATATAGCTCTCCGAGTCGCTGACATTGGGCCCCTGATCAAGGATACGAAAGCGGACACCTCTGCAGAAGCAACCCGGCGCTGCTCCACCGAAGCCGAGGGCATGGCACCCACTTCCACACCGCCCTCCGGTCATGTTGATCTCCAGCTCTTCCGAGTTGCTCAGCATCGCCTGGAAACCGCGTGGCAACTACACACCCGATAGGTGTGCATCACTGGCACAGTTTGAGCTTTTCGTCACTTTAGCTCTAAAGGAGACTCGGACGACTAGGTCACCAACTTACGGCTGCACTGTGGAGAATGCAACGGGCAAGGCACGAGACGGAGGGAGGGAGAGAGCGAGAGACAGGGAGGCTGAGAGAAAGAGAAAGGGAATGAGAACTGGAAGAGAGAATGACTGATGCTTCTTGCATCCCTGCGCCACGCGGCAAGGTCTGGGGTCCACAGGAAATTGATAAGAGCCGAAGGGTGTTCTAAAAGAGGTAGAGACGGTTCTGTGCTAGCTTCGACTTTTATCGAGGCACAAATCCTGCTGACGAAAGTTGTGGCGCTTGTAACGGCCGCCGACGTCAAGGCCACACGTGCGAGCTTGTGGCGATGACACGTATGGACATGTACGCCTTGTCAGCCTCTTCGAAGGCAGGCACCTACGCCATGGGAATCGGCAGCTGCCGGCAGGACGATGTAAATCTTTGCCTGAGACTGGCAGGGATTTTGGGCCCGCTCTTCCGTGTCTCTGCAGTCCACATGGCCCCCCAGCCGAAGCTTCCACGAGCCCGAAGGGCCTGCGTCTCAAGATGCAGGCGAGGACTGGCGCAGCGCCGCGAGGGAGGCCGCGGCCTGCGCGCCGCGCGGGGAGCCCTGCAAAGCAAACGTTCTTCTCCACAGCATTGGACTTGATAGCCACCGCTACGGTCCGAAAGTTCATCTCGCTTTTGGGGAAACACAGGGTAAATAGATGGGCTGCGAACATATTGGTAATGCACATAGGCAGAATGACATGATGTTCGCACATGTCAGGAAATTAGCGGTGTCGTTCGATTCGCTTCTGTTCACGAACCGCAGCAGGAATTCGTGAAGGGTTACTCGTAAGCAGACGATAGGCAAGGACGCTTCTAGTTCTAGTCCGATTGAAGCCTACACCTTTTAGCGTCCAATCCTGGACTCAAAACCCGAAGCCCACAAGCCCAACAAACGCCTCGAGCGGGGCCTCGTGCGGTTCGCGGCTGTTCGCGTTGCAACGGTTTGTTTTGCGCTCGGTTCGCATTTTGTGTTCTTCGGTTTTCAGTGCAGTTCTTCCCTTCCTGGCGGTTCGGTTTCGTCCGCCGCGCGCGTCCCCGGTTTCACCATAAAGGGCTTGTCCTCAGCAGCATGGTCATTGGAGTTGCTGGGAGCATAATCCGAGTCTTCCAACACCATTCCGGGCCTTCGGTTCCTGACTGAGGCCGTCGATGCCGAGCAACTTCACCGTGAAGTTGCGGCCGGTGCCCAAGTTCGGGCGTTCTGCTGCGGCGTAAACTCAGCTGTGAGGCACCTTCACCACCCCGAACAGTTCGGGGTGGTGTACATCTAACTACCCGAAGCCCGAAAAGGAGCACGCTGGGCGTGATCGTGGAGTGGTCGGCTCCCATCGCAGATGGTGTCCCGACGAGACCTTTAAAACTTTAACCTTTTTGGACAGCGTTTGGGCGTGTTGGGGCTGAGTGCCAGGCGGCTGCCCATCCTATGTCGTCACCCAGGTGTCTGCTCTTTGCCGTAGGATCGCAGTTGCATACTTTGCGTGTCCGGTCTTGTAGGATGGCGTCCTGGCCGCGACACAGACACATAGCGAGCAGGGGGGCCCGGTTCTCCATGCACCTCGAGTTTGTGGTGCTGTTCACCTGTCGCTTTGAGGTATTCTTTGCTTTTGGTCGACCCGGCGCAGGCACGAGCTGCAACGCCATGCTGCAGTGACGTTCTTGCAAAGCATCGGGTCCAGCATCCACCACGACTCAAAGCTGCTTGGAACGGACGGGTAGATTAACTGCGGGGGAAGCTGGAGACATGTGCAAGCTTGTTGCACTTGGGTTCCTTACCCCCTCCGTGACAGTTTGTGCTTGCCCCGCGGGCTCACGCGTGTTGTTTTGAATTTTGACCGATCGGGCGTATCTTCCGTTCGTGCGTCAGGGAGCATGGTCCATCATGCTAAAGCTGCTCGGCTCTTGAAGGCGCACCTGCAGACAATTCAGGGTGTCATGCTCCAGCGGAGTGAGCATGGAAGATTGCGGGCACAGTTAGCATAGTGTTCAACTCAAGTGTCGCATGCTAGTCAGAGAGGTCGACAGCATTGTAAGACTTCATGTTTTGAAGGTTGGTGATGTGATTCCTCAATTTAGCCTGCAGCATACCCTTAGCATCATGTTTGACAGCTCCTCAAGCAAAGAAATCTCATGAGAAGTGTGCTCTTGAGTTTGCAGGCCAAACCTCAATATCCAACAGTTTATAACATTCTACATTTAACAGTCAGAATTTAACGTCCCATTGCCGATATCTACTATCAGACCCTCATCCCTTTGCCTTTCTTGCGCGCTCTGCGGTCCAAGGCATGGCATAGCATTGTGTGGTGCATTTTCTCAGGTCGACAGTGGTTTCACGGGGCAAGTGCTGCGTTGCGTTTCGTTGTTTTGGTCTAGCGGTCCAGGGCGCGACGGTAGTTCAGCATCGATTTGCCGCATCTCTCGCATTCCTTCGCAGTAGCAGATTCCAGCCGATCTGATCCGATCTGCCTAAGCCTTAGCAGCCAACAGACACGCCAGGGATCCCTAATTCGCAATTTTTCCACGGGGCGCTGCACAAGGCAGCGCTCCGAATACGCCACAGCGCCATGCAAGACGTCACAGCGACCCCAGACGGCTCCAGTGCCGTCGTTCATGTGTCTGACGTTGGGCAAGTAGCTGTGCCGTGGAATTCGCAGTCCACTGCTGGTGTCTTGGCCGCCAGGACAGCGACAAAACTGCTGAGTTTCTTGTTTAGCTTGGGTTCGTTTCTCGGCGTCTGGCCCGCTGCAGGTGACATCATAGCAGCAGTGAAGTCGCGCCTGGCCGCTTGGTGAAAGAGGTGTATCCATTGCCCATGGATAGAGTCGGAGTTCGCGCGCGCGCGAAAGCTGCGGAAAGCGGTGGCGCAGGCCGAAGAGCCATGGCACGGCAACGTCGTCGTGTCTCGTGGGCCCGAACGTTTGGAGAGCAGCGAGGTAGCGAGCAAGGATGGGCTCCTCGTCAATTTATGCCAGGGTCATCCCAGAAGAGGGATGAACCTAGGCGGGCGGCGATTCGTGGGAGTTTTGATGCTCTTTTTGTAAGTTGTCCAGCCTTTTTGCAGAGGTTCTGGGGTGTTTAGTGGACAATCTCAGGTTGGTGTTGACCAACTACGCAAGGTTGCATGCAGCCAGAGTGCCTCTCGAAATTGCCACCGAGATTCTTGGCCGGCATTGGATGGTAGTGCAATCGGAAGCACGGTCGACTGGTCGACTGGTCTGGCTCAGGCGCAGTGGCATCACCATCTCACAGATTCAGGCCCTCCTTCTCTTCGCGCAGAGCATGATCGCCTTCTGGACCGGCACGTTCGGGGAGGAGCGTGGCAGGGCCTTGTCCTACGAGACCTTTAACCTGCACCTCAGGCGGAATTCCAGTTTTGTCTATGTTTTTTTCTGGACTCGGTTATAAAGATTAGATAAGATTAGATTGGCCTGCGCTGTCGAAACTTTGAGCCCAGGTACCATGCCGACCAGTGGATTCTGAGGCCGGCAACGGCTGGTCGCCGTGGGCCAGGATGCAGTTATGTGGAGCCCCTTGGCAAGGTGTGCAGACTCTTTGGGAGCATGCAGCACTTCAGCCAAACCTCGCCTCGTGAAGAGTAGGGTACAGTATGGGATAATTCTAGTTTTTTGCGAGCTGACAGTCGGGCAGGTTTTTGGATGCAGTCCTTCAAGAGAGGGTCAGATTTATTCCTGTAGAATCGTAGAAGTAGAGCCTGAATCGAAGAGCAGATTCCCTTCGGAACCAGTCACCTCCAGGCTTGTGGCGGACACGAAGGAGGACCAGCACCCCGAGTGGTTTGTGTCCCACGCTTGGCTGGAACCCATTAGGCTTTTCCTGCTCTGCCTGTGCCGACACGCCGCGGTCCGCGGCCTGCGCCGGACTGCGGCGTACTGGGTCTGTGCCTACGCAAACAATCAACACGTGCCTTGGCAACTCAATAACGCACCTCTGACCTTTGCGAGTTCGGTGAATTTGGTTTTTCTCTTGAACTTCCGTTTTCCGCAGCATTCCTTCAGCGAATTGCCTGCCAGGAGCTAGAGCTGGCCATGTCTCCCAACCCACGGAAAACCTCCTTCTACAAGGCCGGAGACCGGGGAGAAGGGGGTTGGCTCGTGACTTGAGGCAGGCTCTTACAAAGCACATTCTTGGTGTGTTCTGGCGAGTTGCATTCTTTGAGCAGTCGAGAGTTCACTGAGAGGCTAGCCGTGAGAACCCCCCGACCTGAGGCCATGCAGCTGTGCCAGGGAGTTCTGCTCGTCTTGGATGCAAAGGCATCGACCTCGGTTTCGTGCAGATCGGCGTGAACAAGCGGCCTCTGGCCCAATGCACTCCAACGCACACTGCAAATAACTGGCTCCGTTCCATGCCATGTCGCCACAGACACAGAGAGGCCACCCCTTTTCGGAGAATTTGGTGCTGCTTCGAAGAAAGTATTGCTGCCCAGCGCTGAGAGGGCTTCTTCTTGTAACGTGTCCGAACCGCACAGCCATGCTTCACAGGATGTGTCCAGCCCGAGTGATTTAAGGTGGAGGAACGGCATTCTGCCGCGTTGCTGCTGGATGTGGCGGCCACCGACGATAGGCATCATGCCCACGTCATTACGGACGGACCGGCAGGTGTGGAGCGCTCCGTCCTTCCACTGATAGGCCTAGTGACCAAGGCCCGTCGGGAGGAATCATTCCCAGGCCACTTGCTCCGGCGCGGCATGGAAGTCCACATCCAAACCGCCGAATGTTTCAAAGACGTCGACAAGACTCGGATTCTGAATAGCATAGCCTACTCACGTGCCAACACCGGAGCTTTGGACGACAGCTTCCCCGAAGAGCATGCAAACTATGACTTGGTCAACCGCGCGTTGGCATCGCATTTCAGCATTGCAAGCATGTACGGCTGCTACACCCGCCAGGCAGACGTTGCGCCACTCCTACGGGCCTTGCAACAAGATCAAAGCAGGCATACCATGCAGCTGTCGCTGACTGGCTGCCTCAATTTTCGAGATGCTGAGTTGCGAAGCCTCCTGGAGCACCTGCCAGCTGAACTGCAGACTTTGCGCCTGGACCTGTGCTTCACTGGCATCACGGCCTGGACACAAGAGTTCGAAGTCGCTGCCGTCAGCTTACGACACCTCCAGCTTCGCATTACAGGTGCAGCCAGTCGCCTCTCAGGCATGAACAACCTACTGCATCCATCACTGCAGCACCTCGAGCTGTGGTTGGCCAATCTACCTAGCCTGGTGCAGATGGAGCTGAAAGCGTTGGACCAGCTGCGCCAAGTCCAAGAGCTGGTGATGCTGGTGGATGGGTGCCCAAAACTGCCGCCCACATCAAAGCAAGCCCTGCGCCCAATCAGCATTTTGATATGTGGTTCTAGCAATCTAGAGCCAGGCTTCCGGGATGCGTGGCCACGTGCTACAGATGCACCCCCCCCCCCCCAACTCGAGGTGCCTCGCTGTCCAGTACGTGCGACGCCAGAACAAGGGCTTACATGTGTGGCTTCACGTCGAGGCAGGCTTGAAGTCGGCCTTGTAGTTTAATCGCAGGCTCACATCTACTGCGTCTTGCACATGGGCATGAGATAAACGCCAGGAAACAGCAACGTGGTCAAGCGGACGGAGCTGGCTGCCTGCCGCCTGGGTTGCCTGCGCTGCCTGGGCCGCAGCCCCAGGTTCTGGAGTGAGGGCCTGCCGGGTTTCAAAATTGTGCCGAGCGGCTGCGTTCGAGGTGCCATGGACTTGGATTTCGCACTCAGGCACAGCGTGTGCTCATGTCTAGCTTTGAGAGCTGCGAGAGCTTGATCCCAAGCACATTCCCTCCTGGTTCAGGCTCAGTGCGCTCGCAGATAGCTCAAATGGAGCATCTGAATGTGGACCAGGCGTCGGATTTGGGAGGGCTGCGACTTGTTATGTGCAATGCTTTGGTTTGCATCGGAGTTTTTGCTGGTGCCAAAGGTCCCCACAGTCTCCAAACCGAGTGTACCAGCAGAGCAGCACATTAATGATTGCAGGCTGCTTGCGGGTTCTCGTTGACTAGCTTGTCTCACCGGGTGCGTGGCGTTCCAAAGCTCCAAACCCTGCATGAGGAACGCCCTTTTCCATGCAGCCATCAGGGCTGCCGAAACGCTCATGCGAACTGGAAGCTTGGCACTTCTCCGGGTTTGCCTGCTTAGGAGCAAGGGGTCGCGACAGTGAGGCAGAAGCTCAATGGCCGAAATCAAGTTGGAATTGAGGTCGTGTGGCGTGGGGTGGCGGGGAGATTGCGAGGGGGAGTGAGCAAGGTACTACTCGGCGTCCGCAGAAGGGAGGTGCAGAGGATGACACAATGGCGACTTAGGCTTTCTCAGCGACCTAAATCGCAAAATGCAAACATGCTCTCATGACCTCCAACCGAAAACGCATCCTGAATCTTAAATTCAAGAGTCCGCGAAGCTCAAGAAACCACTTCCTTCGATGCGTCAGCCTCAGGAACGGATACTGCAAGAAGCATTGGATCCTCTGGCTGCTGTGGAAGCTTCTAGCCACGCTGCAGAAGGTGTCCGGGCAAGATCTTTACATTGATTCTCCATATTTCTGATTTGCATTCTGAGGATGCCGGAAATTGAAAGTCGTTGGAAGGAGTTTTGAAGGCTGATTGTTGAAGTCTTGCGGGAGTTCAATGTCAAGGCCCGGACTCGTCTAAGGCTAAAGCGGCCAAGGATTTTTGAGGCGTGAGTGAAGCAATTATGAGCATTCTTTTGGGGTTCTTCTGTTCAAGACTCCCTATGCCCGTCGATCTGTAGCCCCCAAACCACACATCAACGCACCAACGTCAAGCATATACGACAGAGGACCTGTAGCCGAAATCCCACTGAGAGTTGCTGACAGAATAGAAACTGAGTAAAAACTTGGTAAACTGGGTAAACGGTGTGAGGTTCTTTGGTTTCGCCCAGGTGAAGAGCTGGTCGGAGCTGGTGTTGATCTTTTTTACACAGGCTGCTGGCGACGTTGACTCCAAAGCGGAGATCTTAGCAGTACCTGAAACAGCGCCTTTAGCCCTCGGCTCCGGATCTCCGGTGCAGAGCTTCCCGAGGCCTTGCTGCTGCTGATTTTTCTATCCTTGCATCTTGGCGTCAAAGGCATCTAGCAGCAGTAGAAGCAGCTGCGCAGTAGCTAGCAATGCCCCCCCATTCAGCACTGTCCTATGCTGTCGTACACCGAGGTATCCAGTGGTTTGCTTGGGGCTCGAGGAATCCTGGGGATTGCCAGCAGCCGTGACCACTGCTCTACCGTTGGCAATGCTGCTGGCCAGCTTCGCCTATGCGAGCCAGCGCTTCGACCAGCTCCAGAGGTCGACTGTCGAGCTGCGGCTGGTCACTGAGGCAGCTTGCTCGCAGGCGCCCGTTTCATCCTTTCCGATTGTTGCCGCATGTTGCCACGACGTCATGGGTGTTGCCATGTTGCCACGATGTTCTGTCCTTTTGGTGGCTTTGAAACGAGGTTTAGCTGAGTAGACACATGGCCATGGCGAAGGATGAACTTTAGCTGGCGAGGGTACGCAGGCTTTGCGCCGACCCAACTTGAGATTCCAGAGCGGGTCTTGTTCAATCCAAGATGGAAAGCCAGTATGCTGCCCGTGGACAGACAGGTGCGATCAGGCACGCCTAGCATATCCTAGTGTGCCATGTCATGTATACCAGAGACGAGGATGCAGTCTTGAGACAATCGCAGCTTGAGCCCTGGAAAGCCCTGGATCTGTTGCCTGGCTGGAGCGCAGTCCACACCGTACCCGTCAGCCTGCGCGATCCTGGACAGCAACTTGGGAAACTGCGAAGCCTCGATGCCTCGGATCGATGCACCTGGTTTTGTGGGCAGGCGTCTCTCCAAGCCAGGCGAAGACCCTGGTCGCGTCTGCGGAGGGCGGCAACTTGTGAAAAGTCGGCGTTACCCCTGGACGGCTTTCGAGTCGAGAGAAAAAGGTCCCAGTCTGCCAGTACTTTGCCTTCTGCTTTCAGAATTTGGATGTGCAGTGATGGGAGGTGCTGGAGTCCGAGCACTTGTCGCACGTCTCTCTGGTGCTCGGAAGCTCTGCCAATGAGTACCCTGACGTTGAGGACATACAGCAATCCGTGACGCAATGGACGCTCAGCCGGCTTTGCCCTTTTCTCTTTTGATCCCTGCAGCCCGCAGCATCCTGCGTGCACTCATCCGGGCTGAGGAAGGACAGTTTCATCCGTGCCAGGCGGTGTCTGCAGAGCTTTCAGCCGCCCAGCTCGCAGAGTGGATAGTAGACTAGTAGATGTGCCTTTGGATAAATTTGTGCCCTCCCGGACTGTCGAGGATGCTGGTGAGCGAAGCCGTGCGGGAGGTGGACCCCACGCTGCAGGCCGAAGCGCGTCTCCGACGCCCCGCGGAGCTCACGGAGTTTGGGCGCGGAGGCCTCCAGCAGCCCAATCTGAGGTTTGAGTTTTGTGGAAGCCTTGCAGGAGCAGAGCGCGCGCTGGACGTCCTGTGTTGCGAGGTGCACTGCCAAGACCTACATCAGGTCCGGGCTGTGTGGACTGCGCTGAACGCACGCCTCCAAGGCGAAGAGCAGGTCATGAGGATGCTCGGATTGTTCAGGCATGGGTTAACATCATGAGATACTCATATATAACATATAGTAGAGGAATATAATTGAACAAACCAGCATATTTGATTGGTATGGGTATAAAGGAATAAGATAACAGAACAATACAAGGATGCAATACTACCATAATATAGCGGTATAATAACATGGCTATACAGTATATAAGCGTACAATAATAAAATACATTAGTACAACAACTGTATAATACTAATAACATTAATGTGAGAATTCAAAATGTAGAAGTGTGATATAGTAACATGATATAAGAACAAAGTATTGTTGACTTAAGATTCTATAAATACATACCAGTATCTCTATATAATAGGATACCACCAGAATAGAAAAGCACAATACGAACTTAATATGATAATCAAAAAACAGCATCATAGCGAAATAATGCGAAATATTTGATAAGGTACCATCTAATCGTATATAGTAATCTAAGAGATCTTTCTCACGCATTCGTCGGGCCCTCAGCCAAGGATTGTGGCCCTTCGAGATGGCTTCGCTCACGAGGAGCAGCGCAGGCGCTGTGAGGTCGTCGTATACATCGATGGCCACTTGCTCAATCCAGCCATGTTGTTACACTATTGTATTCCATGATATATTTTGTTTATATCGGTCGGGTCTCCGTGTTTTCTCGTGCGCGCAGTTGTTTTGTCACTGTGACTGTCTGCTCATGTCTGCTCCTTTGTGCAGTCTCAAAGCTAGAAACCTGGATTTTTTCTGATCGCGCGCTTGCGCGCTCGCTCTCTCTCTCTCTCTCTCTCTTTCTCTCCCTCTCTCTCTCTCTGTCTCTCTCTCCCTGTCTCTCTCTCTTTTCTCCCCTCCTTCCTATCGTCCTGTTCCGGGGACTATCATGGAGGGCTTGCTGGGTTTGCCATGCTGAGGTTATCTCGCTTCGGTAGTGCTTCTCGTGGCAAATCTGGCCAAGCTTGAAGCGGAGCTCTCGGGTCTCTGGCATCTGGTGCAGCCCTCAGGTCTTTTCCATCTTGTTCAGGAGACTCCAAGCGTGTGCCGCTGACCACGAACAGCGCTGGACTATACGTCCGGAGCGTAGCCAGGAACAGTTCGGGACGGTTCCCCAACATCTTCCAAGTAGTAGGGCAGGCCCAGGCCTGAGCCTCTACGTCGTTTGGCGCTGAGGCCGAAGGCTTCGGCCTGTTGGAAGAGGCGCAGCCCCCGCGTCAGCTGACCGCACCGAAGCTGAAGAGCTTGGAGTCCGACGTCAAGTCCGGTTCTGCGTATCACTACGTCTTCGTGGCTACGACCCTGGCAAGAACCCTGGCCCTCTGCTCCTCCGCCTACATGTGCTGCCAATACGTAGCCCGATTCGGCCCGGGAGTGAAGGGTGCCGTGCCCTCATGGTTTCTGCAGTTTCTGGTGATCAAGGCCGTGCCGGAGGAGCAAACGTGGGCCCAAGCGCTCAGCCTCTCGGTGCCCTATGGGGTCCTCTGCTTCGTTTTCGGACACGACCTCCTGCGATGCAGACGATGCAGGGCCCGAGAACACAAGCGGCTGAAGCTGTCGCAGGTGCTCTTCGAACGCCATTTCGGCATTCATGGGACTCACTACCTTGTCAAGGTAGCCGTGCTGCAGCTGGCCACGATATTGTTGCAGGCATTCGGGAAGCTCAGCTTGCTTGCGGGCATCGTTACGTTTGCCATGCAGCAGCAGGTCCTGATGCTGCCAGGTCTGAAATTGGCCTTTTGGCTATTTTGGGGCTTGCTTTCCTGGAATGCCATGTATCCCACGATTCTTTTCCTATTTCCGGACGCCACCTGGGCACGATACGGCGCGGCGTGCATGGACGTAGCTCTGGACCTGGGGTATACGGTCAGCTACATGCTGTTGGTGGACGCTGGGAAGCAATGCGTGTGGGGGTCATCCAAGTGTCCAAGTGTGTATGTGTTTAGGGCTCCGTTGCATGCGGTGTCAGGGAAATACATTGCACGGTGTCGTTTGTCCAGTCCAAAGCCTCTATGCAAGGTACTGGGGATCTCCGAGCTGGACACGGAGACGTCGGTGAAAGGGAACTTCGGGCAGGTGGCAGAGCTTGGCTTTAGCACTAGCTGCTTGGTTGCCATATGTAGGTTTGACGGAGATACGCGTCATTGGAAGGGTTGGAGGGAGTCGTAGTAGTGATCGAAATCAGGTATCAGCCCAGCGTTTGCTTTCCCCTCGGACATCTTGAAGTTTCTGGCCGTTTACATGACCGTTGCCCACATCTGCTGCGCCTGCCGTTCTCTGGAGAGGAGCAGCGGCTGCAAAAGAAACATTCTGAAGCGGCAACAACATTCAAGCCGCACTTGCACGCAGAGAGATGTGCGTAGTCTTGCACTTCATGTGCATGTGCAGCATGAATGAAGGCTGCGTGTTCTGTGCAAGCTTCAGTGGGAAAGGAGCAGTCTCCAGCAGCAGAACTCCGGGAACTCGGCCAAGCAGCTCATGAGCTTCTCAAAAGCTCATCACAAGTCTTGGCACACAGGATTTGCCAGGCGATGTCTGATCTTGGTCTACTCCCCAGCGTTGCTGCTTCTCCTCGCCTTGTTCCTGACGTCAAGTGACTTCTACCCTGGCCATTCGGGCGACTTCCGCTGCTTCCCCTGCCGCTGCTCGCAGGACCCGCGTGCAAGGGCGTCATGAATTCATGCACGTATATCAGCTGGGGCCAGGGCTTTGATTACTGTTTGATGAGCGTGTTCATGTTTTCTTAGGGACATGATGTGACAAAACCCCGACTCATACAGAATGCAGCTGTAAGACTAAATCAGACTGCATCCCTGCACCTGTCACAGGACCCGGCGCAGCTGCAGAGCGTGACATCTGCGCGTTGGAACGTCACCGTGGGGCCCACTCCTGAGTTGTTTGGGGTTGTTATCGCAAATGTTTTGTTCATGCTGTCAGACGTGGAGCTTCCATGTGTTTTTCTAGGTCCTGCACCCTCCACGCGGACGGCTGCATCAGCAGCACCTCCTATCCAATGCGTTATCCGAACAACGATTTTTGCCGGATCCAGGTCCACGAGGGCGGCTGGCACATCCATGTGCAGGACTTCGAGACTGAAGGGTATTATGACAAGTTGACATTCAACAGCTTGGAGTTCAGCGGATTTGGCACCTGGGAAGGTCCGCGTGGCATGGTGCCGAGGGGCACCATCGAGTGGCGCAGCGCCGCCTGGCTGTTAAGGCGGGGCAAGGCCAGGAGGCCATCTGTAATAGCGATGTGAAGTAACTTACTAAGTAGCTATACCAGCCTGTGTGGCGCAGCGCCGCCTGGCTGCACTGGGGGCGTTACGTAATAGAGTAGCTATACCTCTGCGTGTAAGGACTCCAGCGGGAGGAGCAAAGGCTGGAGGATCTGCCTCCGCCCTCCCGTGCGCCTGGAGAGCTGCTCCTTGGCCGCGGTGCTGCGCCAAGCCGAGGTGGTCGTGACCGGCTTCGACCTTATCGCCGAGGGCGCCTTCGACCCGTTGGGCTGTCACGTGCGGCGCTTGTCGCTGACCAACGGCACGCTCAGCACGCTGCCTTTCGGACGCTTCCGGCGCCTCGCCTGTCTGCGAGCTCTGGACTTGGGCAAGGGACTCCTTGCCACCCTGGAGCAAGGAGCCTTTGAAGGCCTTGCAGACCTTCGCCTTCTGTCGCTCAGCCAGAACAAAATCAAGCACCTCTCCGACGAGCACCTCCGCCCCCTTGCCAATCTTGAGGAGCTTTACCTTTGCGGCAAGAGCGACGAAGAGCACCGCCCTCTCTTCCAGGGGAACGAGTTGGCCAGCCTTCCTAGCTTCTCGCACAACCCTCACCTGGAAGTGCTAGACGCGAGCGAGTGCCGCTTGACCGGCTTGGAGAGCAACGCCGTGGCGCACCTCCGGAACCTCAAAGTCCTAGACCTTGGCTCCAACAAGCTCCGCCGCATCTCCAGCACGGCCCTGTCAGGCCTGGGCTCTTTGCAGAATCTGACCTTGGGCTCGAACCGGCTGGCCTCCCTCCCGGAAAGGCTCTTCCACGGCTTGGACTCGCTGCGGACGCTGGAGTTGTACAACAACCAGCTGGCCTCGCTCTCGAAGAGGCTCTTCCACGGCTTGGGCTCCCTGCAGACGCTGGATTTGGACCACAACGACCTGGCGTCGCTCCCCGTTGACCTCTTTCACGGCTTGGACACTCTGCAGACGCTGGATTTGCACAGCAACTGGCTGGCCTCGCTCCCGCTTGGGCTCTTCCGCGGCTTGGACTCTCTGCAGAGGCTGTATTTGGACGGCAACCAGCTGGCCTCGCTCCCGCTTGGGCTCTTCCGCGGCTTGGACTCGCTGGAGACGCTGCATTTGGATGGCAACGAGCTGGCCTCCCTCCCGGTTGGGCTCTTCCAGGGCTTGGACTCTTTGCAGATGCTGGAGTTGCAGCACAACGAGCTGGCCTCGCTCCCGGTTGACCTCTTCCACGGCTTGGATTCTCTGCAGACGCTGGATTTGGCCGGCAACCAGCTGGCCTCGCTCCCGCTTGGGCTCTTCCGCGGCTTGGACTCTCTGCAGAATCTGTGGTTGGACGACAACAGCAAGCTGAGCTGGTCCGTGAGGAGGTGTGTTGAGGCCGCCTTGAGCTGCGAGAACTGCAGCTGCGAGGCTTCCTGAGGCCACAAGGTTTTGTGTTGTTCCCGTATGGGTTCTCTGCAACAATTAGGGCGGCTTCTTCTGAACTGCTTAAAGGCATGTACAGGATTCGGGAATTTGCCGCAAGCTATCCGACCTTTAGCTACCCAGGGAACGCGAATTACCGCGTTTCGGTTTTAAGACTTCGCAGGGCGCCATCGATGCTATGCAAGCCGCCTCAGTGCGAAGTAGCACGCCTGTGCCAGAGACCAACAATCATGTCGACTTCTGATTAATAACCCCCCCAAACAATTAGAAAAAACCAAATAATAACGCCAAACCCCCCCAATCAATTTCGCATTTTGTTTCATCTGATGATCCGTACAGCCTGCAGAATCCTTCCCTAAACCCGATTTAAAATAAATGGCGGCCCTAAACCCTGTCAGCTGAACGGCCCTGAAGCCATGGCCTGCCTGTGTGCGAGCGTGTGAGCCGAAGAGCCAACAAAAGATCTCGACATCAGGACGAGGGCGGAGCACAAGACTAACTAAGACTGGCCAACATTGCTAGTCATTGTTCTCCCGAGAAGAGTTTTCTAGCTGCTATTGCTACTGCAGAAGCTCACCGCAACCTCCCGCGGTGAGTTGCCGGTTTTGCCAGGCAAGTTCACCTGTTGGCACACTGTAATATAGAAGCCTAAATCACCACCAATGTTATTCCCCTGGGTTCCTTATAGTTACACAATGGAGCCCAAAACCCTGTCAGGAATACAGAATGCCTGCCAGTGTGCTGAGAGCCAGAGCCAGGCTCAAAGGGTTTACGGAGCAAAGGGTTGAGATACTAGTCGGGGTACAGTTAGGAAGAGTATCCAAATACAGTCCCAATAATTGCGACCCCGAGATTAGGTGGACTGGTGGTGGTGTGACGATTCGGGTCATGTGTTTAGAGTGGGCGGGTGGATAGTCCCAAACACCCCGAGGCTGCTGTTGTGTGCGTTCGACGTGTTTCAAGAAGGATGTTTCTGTGAGGTTTAGGCTCCGTCTCTTGTCATATCGTATCTGAATCTCCGGATTCCATGGCCTTCCTACACCGTTTTCAGGTGAGTTGGTAGGTGGCCACCAGTTTAGTGACATGATATCGTGGCTTCTGTCTTGAACTCAGCACGAAAGGGAGGAGCCAGCCGCCCCTCCGCGAATAATGCAAGAAGTGACTCAGGAGATGAAGGCACTGGGTATTCAGCACGGCAGCACTCAGCTTTCGCAACTCCGCGTCCTTTTTGCAAGCTCGGCATTTGTGCGGCTATTCCTTTCCACAGTACGGACTCCATGCTCTGTCGTGAGGCAGACAGGCTGACATCCGCAAGTAGAAGCCACGGTAACCCTAAGCCCTATCAACCCCGAAAACACAAGTGGAACCCAGCCCAGCAAGGTTTAAGGATTTCGGGATTCAGGGTCTACGGTTTAGAGACAACCGTCTTTGCTTTGGCCAGAAGCAGCCAGTGGTTACTATCACAGGCTGTCACGCCTGTAGCAGTTGTAGCTTGAGCTCGCTGTTTGACGGCAACCAAAGAACGATTGTATTAGTTGATTATTAGAGTTGATGTAACTGTGAAGAGCTGCAGGCCGCTTGCCGTTGTGTGGCCCTGCAGTGCGGGTTCAGGGTTCCAGCCTGAGGGCCTCGAAAACTTGCAAGACTTTGTCCGGCTTGAGGCTCGGATTTCGCAACCCGGCACCGACTTTGAACTTTGACTAGCACGACGTGTCTGAAGGATATGAAGAGAAAGGTGAAGGAGGAGGATTCGAAGGATGCGCAGATCAAGCACGAGTCGGAAGTCAAGGAGGAGACGACACGGAAGGCTGATGAGATTCTGTGTGATTCCTTCAGTCGTGAGACAGGGCGCGGCGGGTTGAAGGCAGTACGTGGACAGATGTTGTTGTCAGGCCACGACGCTAGTCATGTCACTGTATCAATTATTTAGGGCTCTCAGTGCTTTATCGGTCCTGCGATTGAATTCAAGATCCAGATTGCCTTAGCCCCAAACCTGAAATCCTGACAGGGTTTACTTTCTCAGAGCTTTATAGCTGAAGCTTACGAAGCAATCTCCATCACAGTGACACAGCGGACCCTTTAAGCTTCAGGTCGAGGGGCGTGAGGCCCAGCGCTTAGGCTTCAGGTTTTAGGACCGAGGACTTCTTGGATTTACGTGAGAATATTCAGATGTCAAGCTGCCACTGCCCTTTAGTGAAAGCATGCGACCCAGGGGTGTCAGTTCCGAACGGATTTTCGCGACGCCTATCCTGACTTGACTAGCAGCAGACACTTGGCCGGCGTGCACAACGCAAAACCAGCTTCAACCAGCATGTGTCAGCGAAGCCTTTTGAATTGTTGAAAGATATCAAGCAAGAAGATGCAGACATGGAAGTGAAGGAAGGGGCACTGTGAATCAGCTTGTAGCAACGAAGTTTTTCTGGGAGATGTGAACATATTCAAACTAAACCTACGGAAGCAATGCAATGCCGTGACTAGGATCATTCCTGCATTCACTTTGTGAACCTCTCGGAACCATTTCTTGAGTCCTAAGCTGTGACCGCCCCGCCGCGCAAAGCCAAGGAAAACGTGCACCACGAAGCCCCTGCATACTTAGTACTCCCAAAGAGCCTAGACCATCCTGAACGCAGGCTTTGAGCTGAAGGGTTTCTTGGAGATGCCGAAGTGAAGGAGGCGATCGCGCTGCAGCCACAAGAGCAGACCAGCTGCCAAAGACTACTGTGTACTCTATATATATATATAAGATGTATATATACTATAATATGTATATATATATATAGTGTGATGTAGTTTTTGAAATGACATGATAAAGTGTTTCTTCTGTTATACTCTGTTATATACACCCCTTTGGGCCTCCACTAGACTGACCCTAATACTGTACCACAAATACACTGTACCAACCATATGAGACGGGACCAGGCCAGAGCAGCACAGGGAAAACGCATATGATCAGATGTACATTGACCCGAAACAGCTCCTTAGAGTGTGCATAACTTCTTCCAGTGTCAGGAGCCATGGCTGCAGGCGGCAAGATTGATTTGCAGAAGCCTGCGCTGGAGAGGTGAAAAGCTCTCTCGCTCTCTCTCTCTCTCTCTCTCTCTCTTTCTGGATGTCCGTGTAGCGGCTCTTAGTCTTAGTCTTAGCACCGTGAGTGTTCTGGAGCGACCCAGAGTGATTAGAATCTCAATTGCAGCTCCGTGGTTTGTCGGGCAAGCATGTGCGTGCACCTGAGACATCAAGTATTTTGCCGCTTGACACATGCCATTGCCGTTTGGCTGAGCATCGCCATTTGCCGGCCTTTGGCAATGCATGAGCCTCACAGCCGTTCAGCAGTGAGTGACCAGTTGCTCCCCAGCCCAAAGGCCAAAAGTGTCCAAAGGCCAGCGAAGCTCTTCCCATCTTAATCGCGATGCTCCAGACCTGCTTCATTACAGGAATCTGGCAGACAGTCCGAGTGTCTAACGGCATTTCTGCGCATCACCGGCTCCTTTCAAGATTGCAGGGCAGGTACACGATGCACTTGGACTCTTGTTTACAAGCGGGGATACTTCAGTCCAAAGCCGATGCAGCTGCATGACTTGGCAGTCTAGTTTTTGAGTCCTCCGGATGATGTTCGAAGTCGTCTTGCTCGTTCTTACTGCCCTCCTAAACCCTAAACCCTTAAGAGTTGGAGCTTGACAGAGAAGTTCCCCATTTCCCAGGTCGTCGGTTTATGGTCCAGAGCTCCTGAAGGCAAGCGGACGAAGGGAGCGCAGATTTTTTCGAGCAGTATTAGGGTGTAGGGTGTAGGGTTTAGGACGTTTAGTATAGGGGCGTTTAGCATTTATGGTTTAGGGTTATAGGGTTTCAGAAGAGGCGGCTCAACGGAAGAAGAGGCCTCCTCGTCCATGTTCGGATCTTGTGTTGCAGGACCCTACCGTCGCAGATGACGTCGACACGTCTCTGGGCCGTAAGAAGGGCACCCAGGAGGACTTGAAACCTGAATGCTGGCACCCTGAGCAGGTTTAGATGCGCTGTAGTCACTGAATTCAAGCAGACCTTCCGCACCATGTCTCCTGCATCTGAGTGTACTTCTTGGAATTTTATCGGTTATTTGGCTGAAGGAGTTCGAAACAGATCATGCCCGAGCCTTACTGCTGCATCTCTTGCCTTTATAAAGCAGGATTGTGCTCACTACTGGCGAAAGAAGACACGTTCAACACCACGTCGGACCGGTCTTCATGAGATATAGGTTCCAAAAGTGGATGCTTTGGATATTGCTCGCTCCCTTGTGCTCAAGGATCGTGCCAAGAGAATCCGAAGAGAGAGACGGGCAGCGAAGGACGGGGGCAATGTCACTACAACAGAGCTGCCACAAGGGTACCTGATGGTTGTTCGTGGGTGTTGCAGCTGCGATTCGGGCAAAGTCTTCAGTCTGCATGGCAGGACAAGGAGAAGGACGAACAGCAAAAGCATGACATGAACAAGGCTTTCTGGCGAACAGTGCCCGCATCATGCCTGTCTGGATGGCTATTCCATTTAACTCGAAAATGCCGACCAGCATTCTTCCGAGACGTGAACTGGTTGATAAACTTGCAGGCTACATGCTCCCACGAAACCTTGCTCGTCTTCAGTTTGATTTGTCGGGCCACCACACTGCAAGTAGCAGGAAAGCGTGAGCACAGCTGTCGGAGGCAATCCGGAATCTGCTCGGTGGTGGTAGCTCCGGAACTAAGCTGGACTTCTCCAGCTTCGCCCTTGGTCAGCGGTCCGAAAAGTTTCGGAATGGTGGATTGTTACGCGGAAGCCTCTTTCGTACTTCAAGCCCGCCCTGAATCAACACAGCCCTCAATCAACGCAGTTGCCATATTGCTGGAAGGGATGTAGAGCACACGGTATCTCTGTATGGAGTGTCGGCTCGTCGCAAGTCAGGTCCTCAGCCTTAGGCTGCCCCCCTTGGAGAGCCTACTGCACGACGTGCATTCAGTTTCATTC